GCTTTTTTAGAACGATGAGCTTTGTAAAAATCGACGCGTTTCAGAAAGGCGGGGCATAGAGGAGAAACAATAATGTACAGTATGTGGAAAATAATGTGTTTTTTGAACCTTAAACCGCATAAACACATTTCATTACACCAAATACACCAAATAATGTTATTTTTAGCAACGTCATATGACCCCTTTAAGGTGTGTCTCTTAAAAGCAGTAGGTGTGACATCAATCACGCTGTCAGAGCGATGCCCCCTGTCTGTCACATGATGCATCATCCTTCAGCACCTTCTCACTGGAACCAAACCCAAATTATTCCCTGCTGCAGAACAAAACGGTCTTGTGCTTAATTAATGGCGCTGGGAAAATGAGTTTGAATATTTATCGGTCACGTTTAAAACAAGTGGCAGAGACGCCAGGGGAGATTCCCATTAGCATAGTGCTTCATTTAGCATTAGCGAGGAGTCTCATGTGAACGGTGTCAGAGGAAACACTGTTTCTTCAACTATGAGCACTTATGTCCCTGTGGACTTTGAGAAAGTAAACTCTCTTAAAAGACACTTCTCACGCACTCATTCTGACAATGTCAAACAGTTGCATCATGGGAGAATTCTCTCATTTTTTGAATTATACAAATATACAGTGCTGGCCAAAATTGTTAGAACACCTGACAGATCTGAAAATATTGACCTTTTTTGCCTCCAAAACATGATTTCATTTCATAGTGTTGATGAAACATGCAGATGGTTGCTCTGAGCACAACAAATATCAGATGAAGTGAGTCGTACTATTTTTTTCATCCACTTTTAACTTTAATATTTGGTATGTCCACTTTTTGGAGCAAATACAGCAGCTCATCTCTCTGACATAGTGTCAGTATATTTCCTGAGAACTTCAACACTAATGTTATCCCATGCCTTCTGCAACTCAAGCCAAATGCTTTCCTTTGAATGTACAATAGATCTGTCCAGTTTATTTTCCAACTCGCCCCAAATTTGCTCGATGGGGTTGAGGTCCGGACTTTAAGGGGGCCAGTCCATAATTTTCAATGTTCCAGCAGATTCCTTCTGTCGCAGGTAGTTCCAGCAATAGTTTGTTTTATGGGTATTGTAATGGCCAATTCAACAAAAACAACTGAAACCTCTTAAATATGCCATGTGTTCTAATAATTTTGGCCACCACTGTATATTTTTGTCATCATTTTATAAATACACACATATCTTTTATATTTACTTGATATAAACGTGTTGACCGGTTTTGGGATGGATAAACATGTACATGACACATATACCCAAACGTGTATCAGACATACATAAACATAAATATTTGCATGGGCTAGATTTATGAAATTGTTCCAATTGCTAATGTGTTATATGTTTTACTTCATAAGGCAATATATTTCACGTATGGAAATTTAATATGTGTACATATATTTTTTTCTTTTTTTCTTTATTTATGGCTGGTCTTCTAACCTCTCTTACTGATACAGATGTGGAAAGATGACAGGAAACAAGAACTCATGTGAACTAACCACTAGGCCAGGCTCCCAGACTTAATAAGCTTCACTATAAACATTAAAACCCAAAAGACTGCCATTAGCTGAGTTACTTTCTCACCATCTGAACGCACTCCATCAGAGGAAGCCTGACAGCCTGGTTCCCACACAGAGACACCACACATGCTGGAGTACCAGGAGACGCTTCTAACAGGGCCAACACGGCTTCCACTCCCATACGACTCGCCTACGGAGGAAAAGAGAAGAGACTGAATACACCATGTCAGTGTTTTTTCCCAATTCAATCATATGTGATTTATTCAGTCAGGACCATACCAAAATCCGGTCAAAGGCAGAAGGTGTTCCTCCTCTCTGGACGTGACCCAGAATGGTGACCCGCGTGTCAAACCCCAAACAGCGTACCACCAGCTGCAGTAGAGACAACACACAATCTTCACTTCAAATCAAATACAGATGTTTCTCAAACAGATCCAGCAAGTTTGTGAAATTAAAAGTTTTAATGGCAGATATACACTACCGTACCGGACGATTTTGTAATGTTTTTTAAGTCACTTATGCTCACCAAGGCTGTATTTAGTTGATTAAAAATACAGTAAAAATAGTAATATTGTGAAATATTTTTGCAATTTAAAATAACTGTTTTCTGTCTTAATATATTTTAAAATGTAATTTATTCCTGTGACGCAAAGCAGAATTTTCAGCATCGTTACTCCAGTCTTCAGTGTCATATGTTCCTTCACATGAAATCATTCTGCTATGCTGATTTGCCGCTCAAGAAACATTTCTGATTATTAGCAACGATCATTTTCCAGAGAAATCGGAGCTGCTCTCGGATGTGCGGTCACGACTGTGGTTCACATATAGGAAAAAGTTTTCTCCCATAGGTAAGTGGCAAGTAAACTAGTCTAGCTAAATGGAGTGGAGCTGACTTCAGTCTTGATTAGAGGATGCTTAGTGCGCTGAGAAGGGTGTTTGTCTGTGGTTTGCAGGAGGAACAGGCCCTTCATCAGACGCGGGATGGGGCTGCATGCTCCGCTGTGGACAGATGATCCTCGCACAGGCTTTGGTCAGCAGGCACCTTGGTCGAGGTAAGCAAACGTGGAAGCTTCTTACCAATAACGGATGTGTGGAATAGCTGCGACTGTACTACTCCTCCTATACTACACTGTATTCTCAGTATTTCTGTATGAAGGGTGACCAGTGTGATTGTTGATATAGAAATGAAACTTACAGTGTTTGTTGCCTTCCATTGTTAATTGTGCTGGTTCCTGTTTCGTGTCCTCAATCTGGCAACCTGTGTGAGTGTCGAGTCTGAGGAGGAGGGGCGGGAGAAACAACTCTCCAATATTCTCTCCAGTATTTTGAATTTGGACTGCAGTACCTATTTCAACCTCTAGTATTGCATGCTGCACCTCTGAAGTTCTCTGCTTCACTGTGTGTTCTAGATTGGAGATGGGATGCAGAGAAACGTCAGCCCAAAGAGTATCATCGCATCTTGCACTGCTTTTTAGACAAGAAGGATAGCTGCTACTCTATTCACCAGATGGGTAAGGCATAAAATGTGTGTGTGGCTGTGTTGCTGTCATTCAAGACCATTATTATTGGCCCAGCCCTCTCAATGACCATTGCACGTTTTGTTTAAAACCATTAGTTCACAGCAAGTGCACATCATTGCATTGTCTATCTGAAAGTCTC